AGCCGGGCAGAGGTGGTGCTGAGGGCCAGGGTTTGGGATGGCAGGGGTAGGGGAGCGGTTGGGCTGGGGGAGCTTCAAGGGCTTTGCCAACCCAAACGATCCCATGGTTCTGTGATTCTATGATTTGAAAAGCAGCCATGCTGCTCCTCCACAGTACGGGGAAATAATGTGCAAGTAACACAGGACAGATTTTACATAACGTGGTACTTGAGACCAGCGGACGTTTAGGCTGATATGCCCACGCTAAAATCGTAGGGCTATTATTTATTCGGTTTGAGATGTATTAATTCTGGAAAGCTGAACTGAATACTCACGTGTGACTATGAGCTTTCGTCCAGTGAGTTCTGTTCTGAGATCGTCAGTAACTGGGTTGTACACTGCACATTTATAGGATCCTTTGTCTTCTAAAGATACATTCAAAATCTGCAGGTTTCCAGATGGAAGAATTAGGTAGTTATCTAAATGAGTGGGGAAGGAAAAAAGAAGATTACATTTAACTCAGTTTTAAATAAAGGCTTCCTTTTAACAGGTTTTTTTTTATTTTTTAAATAACTTCTCAGAAATATATCAGTCTATTCTAAATGTAGGATCACAAAGAAATCATGCTGCCACACAAAGAATATTATTAATTTTCCAAGGTAGGTTTAGATAAAGTGATCTGCACAGGAAGTTCTGCAAGTTTCTGGAGTTCTTTGGGTTTTTTTTTTTTCCTTTAAGTTCTAAGAAAAAAATCCCAGGCAAGCTTTCGTTGGATATTTATGTTGCTGATCAGTGGCACAGAGCATCTCACCTGTTGATTGTTCCAGCCATTTTCCTCGCACTTGAAAGCGAACCTGTGCTTTAGGGCTACTTTCTGGCACCTTGCATCCAATGAAAGCCGTACCTCCTTCCTCGGCTGCAACGGCAGGTTTCACCGACGTGTCGAAATTAGCTAAACCTAGAGGAGAATCGGTAACAGGTTAAGAACAGCCAAGGCTTGGAAAAGGGAAAGGGCAGTAAGCTCGGGGTTTGTGTTTAAAATATAGCTGGTTTCAAGCCGATTATCTCCTCTGGTGCAGCTTTTGGACATCCGTATCAACAGGCATGGTCTGTTCCGTAGCCTGTAACAGCATAAACCCTCCGGTGTACAAATGCTTCCTCATTACAGAAAGGGCCAGGTTTTACACGGGAATAGCGAGGAAGGAGAAAGCAGTCCCTGCGCTCCCCCAGCTGCTCCAGGAAAAGCAAGCAGAGATGACACTGGAAAGAGAAGGGTGCAGCGCTAGTCGCGGGCTCCGAAGGCGATACAGAAAACAATTTACACTAACAGCAGGAAGCCTGTCCATAAGAAACATTAAATTGTCTTTCTGTGATTATAATTAACACAACACCGAGTACGGCAGCGCCTCCCGCTTGTTGCCATCAGCAATGAGGCAAGCCGAAAGCCTCAACAGCTAACAGCACCTTCTACTAAAAATCTCAAAAGGAGGAGAAAAGCGTGAAGGCTGCTCTTCTACTCCCTTCATGTTCAAAGCATCTTCTAGGTTGTGAAGTTTTTCTATGTTAGCCACCCTTATAGCTCTCTCGAGAGGGTCTTGCTATGGGTCAGTACTTTACCAAAACACTTACTTCTCTCACTTATAAGAAATTTTCCTCCCAGGGGGATTTTGGACATGCTCCATAGATGAGGTACCCTTACAGAGAAATAACTCAAATCCTGCTTGACAAAGGCCTGATTCAGGCAGCCCCGCGATCCCAAGTGGACAAATCATGCTCACGGAGGAGTATTATATTCCCATTCTCAGCATCACATCGTCCTTCCCCTGGGGAACACATTGCCCTTCCTCTTCTAAAGTCCTTTAAGATCAAATAATTTATGGATCAAGCACCAAGGCAGACTGATTAGAAGAACCGGTGCAACCGAGAGAAGGGAAACCGTCCCTAAAAGGGCAGAAGACTGTCCCCACCTGAAGAATATCAGATAGTTTTGACCAAATAAAATGCTACAAGTGAAGAGAAAAATTTTCAGCTCCCACTTATTTCCCAGGCAACAATTCCCACTCATTTCTCCTCAACTCTCAAGCACGCTCCTGCTTGGCAGCACAGTTGCTCTTTCAAGATCCTTTTTGAAGAGAAGCTTTTGGGAACCTCATAGCTTCAGGTCAATTCCTTGAAGTGAATGTTATTTCATTCAATAATATTTATACTTGCTGGAAAGGACTCTTGAGGTCCTTCAGCTGGAAGTGAGGCTATCACCAGCACCAGATCGATCAGGTGTGGTTTTGCTGAGTCTTTAAAGCCTCCAAGGATGGGGATCCGCAAGCTCTCTGGGGAATCTCTTCCAGGGCTGCATCACCTGACAGGTCTCAGATGACATAGGGAGAAAAAGAAAGGGGATGAAAAGTATATAATCGATCATATACGAAATACGGGCTGAGGGAAAAACCCACCATCACCTTGAAACTAGGAGTTTTCTAAAAGTCAAAGAAAAAAACCCAAACCATACAAACCAGTTGAGGTCTACATGATTTGCAAGGAGCGAGGAATATAAAGAAAAATTAACTTACTGCCCATCGATACCATCGCAGGCCTGCTCACAACGGCGCCTGCGCTGCTGTTAGCAACGCACTGATAGCGACCAGACGTCGACAGGCTGAGGGAGACGATTGTCAAAGATCCTGACTGGATTTCCACTTCTCCCACCTTGCTGTCCAGAGGCTCCCCATTAAACAGCCAAGAAAGGCCAGCCGTGGAGGGCTCGGCAGAGCAGCGGAGTTGTACAGGCCCACCAGACTTCTGGACAGTAGACAAGGGCTCAGAAATAAAACGGGGAGTTAAATCTGAAAGGAAAACCAAAAGTATATTCAGTTAGCAAACAGCATTTTGCATGAACACGTGCGGTAAGGTTGACGATGCGTTGACTTGTCCAAAAGACTGGCCATACTCTGCTTTCCAGTAACGCTCTCTCCCAGGGCTCCTGCTGCTGTTCACAGACCTGGCAAACTTCTTTCATCAGAAGGTTAAATGTTGCTGAAAGACTGTTCAGATCAAACACAAACAAAAGGTCTCCAAACCCCAAGTTGCCAACGACACTCAAGCACATGTCGCCTTTTCCTCCGCAGGAGCAGCTCATGACACATTCCCCCGATCTCGAACGCCAGAGGAAACTTCAAGACCAGGTTCAAAGCCCATTAAGAGGGTGCCCCTGCACAGGGCAAGGGCATCACACTTGCTAGGGCCAGCAGAAGGGGCAATCCCACCGGATTTATGCGGAGCCCAACAGCAGCCATCACCTGAGGAGATGGAGTATGGCAACATGCAGCTGTAGCTGATCTGTCCCATATGAAGCGGGCCCGGACGTGACTTGTAAAATTTTAGAAGTGGTAGCAGCCTGCCAGGTATTTATGCAGAACCATCTCTCCGTCTGCAGAACTAATTAAAAATAGCAGGATAAAAAAAAAGCTGGATGAACAGCAAAGGCTCTTGTTAATTCCAAATACATGGACTTCATCAGGATGAGAATGATGAATTGGGCATCCATTATCTTTACTGAGTAAAGATGAACAGAAACAGGAAAAGCTGCTAATAAATAAAAGGTTCAGTTCCACAAAACTTGGTTATGAGAATCCATTTATTTGCCAGAAGAAAATTCCTGCTTGTTGGAAGAAATTTTTTCCTATCCTGGCCAATGAAACACTGGGAATTATTTCCATTTGTTTTCTATGGAATTCTCCGCTAAAGATATTTTCACGAAGGGAGCAAGCGAAAGGCAATTAACGCCGGTAACTCCTATTTGGTTAGAAATACGGGAGAAAAAAAAATAAAAATTTAAAAACAGACGCAGTGGCAGGGAAAGACAATTTCTAGTTTGTAAATAAGCTAAGGAATTCCAGATAGTACGGGTCAAGACGATATTAAATGACATCCAAATAAGAGATGGTTTTCTCATAGGTGGGGCCCTCGGCTCGTGCTTTTCTTCTCAAGTCAGCCCATCCAAGCTCCGTTTGTACAGATGAGTTTCAGATGAGAAACTGCGCATTTTTAACAGAGCCATAAACTATCTGCATAAACATAAAATAAAACTGGAAATTAAAGTGTGGCTTCACTTAACAAAAAAAGATGAAATCCATAAAAATGGTATCCAAGCATTTCACAGGGCTCCAGATGTCCATTTTTAGCTTTTAATTAGAAACCAGTTTTTCCTATTAGTTCAGTTTGAATTTCCAGGGATAAGAGAAAGAGCAATGACCTTTTTAGTTTGCTCGCCACCACGAGCTACGAAACGGCACTGTTACTTTCATCTTCGTCGCTGCCCTTGCTTATGACACCACCACTTTGTGTTCAGTGTAAAAGTCAAAATTGGTAGCAGTGACCCTGCAGCTGGAATTTATCTCCTATGACTGCTTGAAAAATAAAATTTATCCCATTTGCTTATAACGATTGGCTATGAAGTGCTAAAAGTAGTAAAAGCTTCTTTTTTGTGTGGTTACATTAAGACAAGCTGACTACACAGAGCAGATGTGTCAATTAAAACCATCCCTCTTCTTTTTTTAAACGCAAGAGCTGTTCCAACTGCAGCCACGCATCAGCGTTCGCGTTTCAAAGATCTGATTCCCCTTTCCCCCTGCAAATTTCAAACCCCTCCCAACCCCATGGGAACACAAGATGCGCTGTACGCAGCAAAATCGGCATCCAGCTAAGTCCACAGAGATCCCAAAGAACAAACCGACGTAACTGTGAGTCTTCCACATTCTAGCACTTGCTTGGAGCCAAGTTTTCAAAAGCGAACTCATATATTCAGCTTAGGACTGCGTTTAAGTGCCCCATGCTTCCTTAAAAGCAGGTTATCCACCATACGCATTAAAGTTGGCCACTTCGAGACCCACTCCAAATTGTTGCTCGATCAAAAGTTTGGGTGCAACCTCCAGAACCTCCAAGCAAGTCATAGAATCGCAGAATCATGGAATGGTTTAGGTTGGCAAAGCCCTTGAAGCTCCCCAAGCCCAACCGCTCCCCTACCCCTGCCATCCCACCACTAAACCCAGGCCCTCAGCACCGCCTCTGCCCGGCTGTTAAATCCCCCCAGGGCTGGGGACTCGACCACTTCTTGACAAGCCTTTCAGTGAAAAAATTTTTCCTAATTCACGGCGGCCGAGGCGAGAAGGCCTTACCTGGACTGGTGGCAGAGATGAGACCCGCGGCGGCGAAGAAGAGCAGTGCCTGTAAGCGTCCGGGATCTGGATGCATAGCGCCAGATTACTGAAGTTGAAAGCACGAAGCTCCAGACTACGACGAGGCACCGAAAGAGCTACAAAACAAACAAACAGATGTCTACTGTAAGCTTCAGGAGTTAGTCTTTTAACTCTCTTACAACAAAGTGTTTGGGGTTTAAAAAAAAAAAAAAAAAAACCAACAAAAAACCAAAAGCGCAGCCAGGAAACAGCCAATATTCTCTGCAATATAGAAACCATCTGTAAAAATGAGTTAGAAGCTGAACTTCACTATGTTTCCAAGTACTATTCTTAATATAAGATTTTTTTTCCACAGCTGGGGTATGAGGCATTCACACCGAACCGTACTGCCTTGATAAATTAAGCCTACTTTCCAACCGGAGGAATTAAAGTCCAAAGTAAACAGCTTATCTATAGGAGATAATATTGTTTGCAAACAATAATCATTTGGCCATCTATCACCGGGCTACACTTGTTTTACAAGTTTTTATGAATCTACGCAGCGCAATGCAGCTACCGCTGGTAATTGCTCCGAGCCTGCTGGGTGAGACGTCTCATCTGCTCGCTCCTTCCAGCGAGCTTTACAGCCAAGCAATGGCAAATCTCTACCGAAATAAATCACCCGCATTAATCGTTTATATTCCCAAACCAATAGCGCTTTCGCACGCTCGCTCCCGCGGCACCCATTACGTGCGCTTGTACCTACGCGGCTGCTCCTGCAAGAGGACCGTCCTTTTCCTTGGCCGTATCACGCCCGACCGTTCTGCTATGGGACATCTCACTTTTGGCACCAAAAAATACAAACTAAATCACGAAACCAGCAGAATACCAACTAAACGGCGAAAGCTAACTTGCGCGAGCTAAGGCTCTGATGGAAACGGTTTCTGACACTCGGTCGCCATCAACGCTCTCTTCGCCAAGAAAAAAAAAATAATAATAAAAAAAATAATCTGCAGCTGTCGTTCACTTAAATTTTCTATTTGCCTTGCATAATATAATGACAAATAAGATCTGAGTTCATTTAGCACAGTTACTTCATTTATCAGCCCAGCCATACAATTTTGCCGCTGATAACGTTCAACAAGGATTTTAAACATCTCATATATCAGACGTGTATATAAACACGCATCTAACGCGTGCAATAACGAGGGGTTTTACTGGCAGCGGGCAGAAACAAGTGCACCAACACACATGCTCGAGAGAAGCAAGTCCCAGTTTACTGAGCGCTCACGGAGCCCTTTGCTTTCCAAGAAGCCGGATCCAGATATCAACAGCAAAGTTATTCCCGTGGTTTATTTAAAAATAACAGCGTTTTATCATCGGAACATCGCTGTAAAATATACTTGCAAAATAAGCATCGGGAAAAGGCTCCAATAATAATAATAAAAGAATCACTCCAGAGTTTATAGAGCTGTTTGCTTACTGCTACGTCTCCCTGCAAATGGCACTCCCGGCTCCTAATGACAGCTTGGGAAGGCTGCAAGAAACGCTGCCGAGTTCTGCTCCCGTTTCTGGGCCGTTTTATCTGATCCAGCAAATTTATTTCAGTTGATGGGAAGATCCGGTAATCCCGCAGACCAGGCTGGTTCCCCAGCGAGGGCCGGGGCTGTTTTGGTAAGAGGCAGATGGCAGAAGAGCCCGGCGGAGCAGAAGGGGTTTTGGTTTATTTGAATTCTCACTCGGTTCAAGGGCAGGAGAGCCCCTCCACCAGCGAGCGCAGAGGACAAAGTAAACACCCAGAGAACTTGTTAACATCAAACACTTTGCTGAAGAGGGGTGGGGGGCGATGTTGCTTTTTGCCAAATCTTCCCTCCACTATTTATTTATGAAAAGCAATGAAACGTATATTCCCGGTCAACTTTAACCCCAGCACATGGAGCTACTGGGTTATTTTGCAGCTGTCTTTTTAAACAAGGCCAGCTCATTATCTTTAACTAAACTTTATCTTTGGAGATCTGCTTCATCCAGTCTCTGATTTCCCTCTGTTTATCTTTCTCTTTACATGTTCCTCGCTGCCAGTGTCAACAGCTACTCCTCTTTTGACCTACCAGTTTGGCTTTCGCAGCCTTGCGGAGTGGTAAGATCAACTGTAAAGCGGAGAGTACACAAAGCAAGCCACAAAGACCAAAGTTCTTTGACTGGAGGGGAAAAGGAAAAAAAAAAAAAAAGAAAAAAGAAAAATACTTGCTTTAATGGGAGTAGCATTGCTCAGCAACAACGCTCAGGCATCCGAGCAGGGTTTCACCAACATCCACTTTTGAAGGGACGGCAGAAACCTCTTCTTCACTGGTAGATATGGGACCACAGGGGGAAGGTGAGACCCAACGGGCAACACACAACCCCAAAATCTTTGCCTCTTTCTTTTTCTTCTGCAGATGGCGTCGCTACAGAAGCCCCTTGCCAGGTACAGGGAAGAGGGCAAGACCACAGCTCGTAGATTTGGGGTCTTCAGAAACCCAGCGTAGAAACCTTGCTTCATTAATATTGCATTAATACCTACCCGAGCGCTAAAAGGCCTCAGGGATGGAAAACCAGGACCCCTCCCTTTGCCATCATTTCAAAAAACCCCCAAGCTCCCACTCTGACAGCAAGTACCAGTCACTGGGGACCTACTGGGAACAGAGGGAGGAGCACTTTGGTTCGACGCGGCTCCATTTCGGTGTCTCACATTCCAAGACGAGCTCACCCGGGAACAGCTCTGTTCACTGTTCCTGGCTTGAGAGACTGAATCTCCACCTTTGGAGGATCAAAGAGCCAGAGTTATTTTGAAGGAAGAGGTGTCACCGAGAAAAGGGCTATTTCAGAGCCTTTAAAAATAAAACCCAGAAGTAACAGGAATTATTCATACAAATGAGAATAATGTTCAAAGTTGAACAGAGAAGGATATGGTTTTCATGGATCAAGCCCTTTCCAGTTTCACCAGCAATTTCTCAAGACCATCAGTGCCGCATACCGGAAAGCCACAGCACGGCAAAGGCCCCTATTTTTCCTCCCACTGAGACATCTTCATCTAAAGTCATCTTCCAACTATTTTCATCCAGCACTTGACCTCCTTGTCAACTCTAAAGCAATTTGTTGCTCGCGGACCAAGGGAAACGAGGAAGATAACAGAGTCACGAGGAGGAGTCATCCCAACCATTCCAATGGACGCCCGCCCCTCGGAAACACACTGCACATGCAGGGGCGTCCAGAAACACGTACTTTTGGAGATGATTAGCAAGATGGAGTACTCCTGAAGACGACATAATGCTGGTTGTGCGTCTCATGTGTCGCAGACCCTTTTTAAAAGGGACCCCTGACCAAACAGCCTGTCCATCAGCTGACAGTTTCAGCCCCGCGACCTTTGGGATGCTGTCTACAGGCAAGGAAAATAAATCATCAGAGCTAACTCCGAACAGAGGGGAAGGGCACATTTTAATGAGTCCCTTCAGGAGCACCGGGGAGGTTTCCCAGTGCAGAAGCAGCGTGGTCCCCACTGCCAGGGCACCGCATCAGCCCCGGCGCACGCTGGCTGGGTTCTGCAGGGCGGCTCGCACACCGTCACCCGGCTGTCGAGGCCCAAAGCCCTTCGCCAGGATGGGCACGGGCCACCCCGGGCCAAGGAGCAGCCCTCGGCACGTGGACTTACCAAAACGCCCTACCGGGCTGAGATGGGAAGACGGAGGCACCAGGGCAGCCGGGTGGGTTTCTCATCTCCGATCGGAACAGACTGGGTGCAGCGGGACAGCTCTGGCAGCGACCTGCTCCTCCCTTCCCAAAGCTTTGCCGCTTCTCACCATTTCTCCAGAAACCAACACTCTCCAGCGTCAGGCTCCACGAGTCTGGTCTGTCCAGCATAACTAACTTAACCTACCGCCTCCAAATTCACTCGCTCCTACCCGTGCTTGCCCCCCCAAAAGGTTTTACGTTCCAAAAGACAACAAAATACCATTTGCCACACATTCACGTGGCGCCCAGCCCCAGAGGATCCCGTCTCCTTCAAAACACAGCTGAGAACCTGCCTTGCTTATTTACCGGACCACGAACGTCTCATCTCCACCCTTGCAGCTGAGGACAGAGTCACCACTAAAAAGGGCATTACCTCACAGCCACTGCCTTCTCCTTTTCTGATGGTTTTTTCGTTCCCTCTGCTTCAGCGCCCCGAATCATCGCCCTGCCATCGCGGAGGGGCTGGCAGGGCAACGCCGGGACCTCCCTTCCCAGCAGCGAGCAGCCAGCAGAGCTGGTGAGCCACCACCCCACGTCAATCTAACCCCCACCCGCCTCCCGCTCCATCACCCCCTTCCAAAACTCATCTGACCTTCAGCGAGCCGTTTCAGCGTGCCGAAGCTAAAGGAGGAAAGGGTTTCTTCGCTTAGCCAAAGGCACCGGGTCCCATAAACGCCGGAGCAAAGCAGGGAAGGAGGAGGAGGAGGAGGAGGAAGAGGAAGGAAACGGCACGCTCGGGAACAGAGGGGGTTATTCAGGTTGCCCACGCCACCTCCAGGAGCTGGCGGCCTTCTCCAAGAAGCCCTTAGGAAAAAGCGACAGGGAGCTGCTGCCAGCCGCAGGCGCGACAACAGTTCTCACTCGGGGTAAAACAGCTTCGGATCCTCAACACTGCGCGTTTTTCCTAAAGAGCAGCAACTCAAAATCAATTAATCCCGCCTCACCTTGTAACACCACGTGTGATTTAACACCTGAAGCACGGCAAGTGGGGCTTTTTTTTTTTTCCCTAGGTCATTTATTACAGAATTACCAAGAGAAATTGCATTTTAACTTGCTTCCCCAAGATTGATTCCGTCAGAACCACAAAAATCACAGATTTTCAAAGTGCCTAAACTTTGAGTGAACAGAACCCCCGGAATTAACCAAACCTCTCTGCCTTTAGCGCGAGCGAGCCGAGTTAGATCATTAAATTTCGCACCAAGACACCTTAAAAAAAAAAAAAAAAAAAAAAAAAAAAAAGAAGGTATTGAAGCCTGTGGCATTCCAAGAGAAAGCAATCAGACATTCCAGCAGCTCGGCTCCTCAGTG